ACATTCAAATGAATTCTTGAAGATAACTGTGCCGTTAAAAGCGCTGTTATCTTCAAGAATTCATTTGAATGTCTTCCCGATTGAATTTTTAGCTGAAATCTGGTATGAGTAGACTAGACTTAATGAATAAGATGCTCAAAAACATTTATCACAAAATTCCATCGGGATCCACCTCAAATGGCACGTCCGGACAGAATCTTCTATATAAGGACTTGTTTAACACCTTTTTTTGCAACTTCGAAGACCAAACTGACCCTTTACTCAAATATTTCCTATCATAATTTTCAAATATTTTATTAGACGCGTGCATAATTTAAGGTCAAAATTTTCATGAATAGATATATGAGTAAATGTGTAGAAGGGGAGTGGCTTGACTTGACTCATCAATGGCACCTAAGCATTTCCTATCCTTATTAAGCAACCCTTGAGCATAACATGAATTGCGTTAAGTCAAATATCGGACATTCAATATTTTCAAATCACATAACATGTTCATCCACAAACTATATCCGGCCATAAGGCATGACATATAGTATAAGTTTGTGCTTTGAGGTTGCACACAATTTATATATTCTACCGATAAATTAAATTCATCAGATAACTGCAAACTTAGTTCTCAACTAGAGAAAATGTTTATTGAATCTCAAATCTAAGAATGTTTTATGCTACCTCACAATAGGGCATGTATATCTATAACCGCAGTACATTTTTATTTCATCAACATGTTGATTAGGTTCATGTACACTCTTAATTTGATAGAATCCAGTAATAACACAATCGTACCCTTTGTCGACATACTTAACAAGGTACTTGTCTTGACATGATTGATTACACCAATCCCCATTCATTTAAGTGTGTCATACTCCAACATAAGATGATAGTTTCGTGGCACCACAAATTGATTTGTCGGCTCAATCACTCCCTTTGTAATTCTTTTTGCATTGTCTCTACATTTATAGATCGGGCATCCTTCACCTCAATAGTCGTTCTCTGATTATATTAAGGAAAATATTTATTCAAATGACCATTTGCACATGCACATTGAGTTTTTTCCCTAGAATATTCACACAATCCATGCATTATTAAGCCCGCTACAATATTATAATAAGTAGGGTCCATACATATATATATGTCTAGAATGACGGGTGTTTCATGACCTCCTCTTTCATGCAAATGAAATGTAAAATATTCCTTAACCGTTACGTTGTTCAATTAATTTCATTCAGTGTTAGATCCTTGGAAGTAGAAAATGAGACATATTTTCTCTACAACCATCTTTTGCATAAGGGAAAAGTAGAATAGCATGTTGTAAAGGTAGATACATAGGATGTAGTTCATATATATGCTGCAACGATTCAGATGTTGAAAAAATGTTTTAAAACATAAAATCAAATCATCTTTTGCTAATGAGTTTCAAATGAACGATTGAATCTCTCTCAATAACTTTCTCATCAATCATTCTAAACATCTAAACAAACACATTATTAAGTCTAATACTGTTCTCAAATCACTAACAATATAATATGTAGGGTGTTGATATCATCGACACCCCTATAAATAACAAAATCTTATTACATAACACTATATGATGTGAAATTGTTGATAGGAACCACACAAGAGTTTTACATATTTATAAAGTTTAATGATATACACTTACCTTACAGACTTTATTCAATTGACCACAACATTAGCCATACCTTATAAGTGTTACACAATTAGTATTATCAAGCTTAAACTAGACAGAGTAGTTCGATATACATGTATCCAATTCTATTATGTCATTGTGGTGATGAAGATTGCACTGACCTAGGAGTGGTGGCATCAACTGGGTGAATCACTCAATTAAAAGATTTATGCGGAACACACATAAGATTTTTTAACTGTCAAATGTAATGCTTTTGTTGAAATTTCTAATGAAACATTCATTAGATACTACTAAAGTTATTATGAAGCCAAATTGGTTAATATAAATTGGTACAAATAGCTAAGATATCATTCATACACTTTAGCCATTATATTAACTTTTGGAGTGTCATTTTATAAAATGTGCATTTATTTTATATTTATAGTTTACTTTATTCTGTCAATTTTCGGTACTTCACTGTTTTCTTATTTTAGATATAAGTGTATTTTAGGTGTTAAAATGAAGTTGAAAGTATGTTGACAAATTTTGGAGATTACTTTAGATGATAAGGAGATATTCCCTCTGTTCAATTTTTTTTGTCAAGTTGACCGGCTCGAGAAATAACAAAGTAAAAATATATGATTGATGTTTGTGTATAGAGAGAATAATGATAGACATGACCGGACCCAAGAAATCTAGGATCCTGTGCAAAGAAAAAGTTGGGCATTTTTTTGTTAACGGAAAGAGAAACCAAATGTATTTACCTAATGACTTCATATCAATTTATTCAAAGTAAATGCAAAATTAACAACTTAATAACCTTAAATTTGTTAAACTCAACTACAAACTATTTAATTTTTGAAATATATTAAGAAATACAACAATAATATAAATATAAGAAAACTTTATAATACCAAAATAAAAACCTAGCTAACCTAGAAAGGGTAGGACTTATTGCTAATGAGAATACCTAATCTGTTGAAATACTAGGACTTTTCAAAGAGGCACTAACGAGAAGTGATCTACTACATATAAACTAATACTACTAATTATTTTTGGGGCTTCCTTTTTTAAGGGCCCTGTGCCATTACACACCCTACACTTGGTCAGGGCCGGCCTTGATGGTAGAAACCACAAATTAATTGATTAAAAGGAAAAATGGTAATTCTTTTAGGAATAAAAAATGAAAGATGTCAAAGTTTATAAGGGACAGAGATAGTACTAATTACTGATGTAAATGAAGATATATCACATAGAATCAGAATAGAGTAGATCATATGGAAGGGTTTGTTTTATTTTTTTTATGTGATCGAGCTATGCCGACTAGATTGTGTAAGTTTTATAATAATAGTACTCCAATAAACTTGTCAACTTTTTTTTTTGTAATAAAATAATTATGAAATAGATTAACATAATATTTATAGAGTTATACACATTTCTCATACGGACAATCTAGCCTACATATTTTTTCGTATCTCTAAAGTAAAACACTCCACGAAAAGACAAGGGATCAACTAAACATGTTTTTAGTAATTAGGATGTTTTTAATTGGAATGAAATTTTCCGATCTGATATGTTTTAATCAGTTTTAGTTCAGTCTTAACTAATTTGATCCGATCTGGTAGATAAAATTGAAATAATGATACAAATCATTCTTAGAACATCTCCAATGTGCAGGCTTTTAACATTTAAAAAGTTGGCCGCGTCATTGAATAACAAAGTGTCTCTTTATTTTTAGCTCCAATGCTTTCTTTCTACGGTTATGTGGAAATGAGGTGTCTCAAATAAATGTAGCCAATGTTAATCCCACTTTCAGATCCTCCAAAGCCAGTTAAACAGTTGACTCATCGTACAAAAATGTATCGTGGGCATAAATTGGAGGTTTTCTTTGGAATTAGTTACGGCCGGATAGTTACAAAAATATCAAATATTTAGATTATTTATTTTCAATTTAAATTAATTAAATTCCAATTGGACAAAACATTAGCAGCTCAACATGGTCAACTGCGGAAGCCTTCGAGGATTTCGTCATTTGAGTTTTGACATTCATCCTATGTGGTTAAACTTTCCATTCATTTCTTGACATTTGTCACAAAATTTTTAATGTCAAAAGCCCACCATTGAAGATGCTTTTAAAGAATCACAAACCGACATAGCAGCTTCTAGGGCCTAGGGTGACATATTAGTTTTAAATCGATTTTTTATTCGCTTCAATTTGGAACAGATGCCAAGAATGATGACTATATAAAATTTTTTGTATTGGTTTGTTTGGTTCGATTCAATTTAATTTGGACTGTTATTGTTTAAAAATATACTAATGTTTTATTGAATTTTTTAGTTTAATTTGTTTATGTTCAATTTTTTCATAGTTTCAAGTTGATTCAGTTCAATACGATTTGCAATAAATATGGCCAAACTCAAACCGAACTGTATATAATTTCATTGCAATTCGTTTAGTTCAACTTGATATGATTCCGCAATCAAACTAATGAAACAATGAAACTACTTGAAACGACCCCATCTCAAAATGGTTTTAGTTGGACTATCTAAAAACACATTTGAAAGAATTTTAACCAAATGTCTAACAAAGGTCCAAAACTAAATACGGATGAAATCACAATATCAGAAAATCCTATCTTCAGATATACAGAACCCACCATCTAGTGGACGTAGTGAGTAGTGACCGTACATTGAGCAATGACTTAAATATGGATGCAAATGTGGAATATATACCATTTTTTTTAAAGGAATATATATACCATTTTAAAGATGCCCTTACCTTTTTTTTTGAGAAGAATCTGGGTAAAAGGAAGATAACGTATAAGAAAAAAGACACAGTATTGCATATTTGATCCTTGTTGAGTGTTTGAAAATCACTGAGACTTAGATGGAGAAGTTTTTATCTTTCATGTATAGCCTCACCTTTTAAATCTTTTTTCGACTTGTGAAAAGTGGTATGAGAGCTCGTATAGTCGTATGGCGGTATGGGGAACAATTAATTCTCCAGGCCACCTATGTACTCCCTCCCTTTCAAAATCAATGCAAACTTTGATTTCACAAAGATTATGGGAAAACATTTATTAAGGGATAAATATTACGAGTAATAGAATACAATGTTTTGATATTTTTTGATACTATTTGCACTGTTTTGTACTTTACTGATATAAATTTGTTTACCAAATGGGAAATGTGGCATCATTTTGAAATGTCCAAAATGAAAAGTGTAACATTCATTTTGAAATATCCAAAAAAGGTAAGTGTGACATTCATTTTGAAACAAAGGGAGTATATAGGAGAGGGTTCTTAGAGGCCCTCGGGCCTCGGGAGTCGGGAATAGAGTGTCATCATTTATAGAGGAGGGTTTTAGTGAAGATCCTTCTTAAAATGAGAACTTATAACGAGAACTTTTATTATATTCAACCATAGGTTAGGTCCCCTTAACTAGCAGTGACTAGCAGCAAAAATCTGAATTCTGAAGTTAAAGCTAGCAGCATAGCACTCAAGAGCAAATATTATGCAAGGAAATGATTTTAATGAGAAAAGATCAGGAACCGAAGAGTTCTCTCTCTTACTTTTTTTTAAAGAGTTCTCTCTCTTACATATATGTAAGAATTCTCTCTCTTCATATATGTAATATATAAACCAAAGATGAACCCAATAGAAGATCGCTAAGACGTGCCAAAAGCAGTTCCATCATGAGATGACTGACTAGTACCCCCAGTAATCGTTCCGAATTTCGTCGTCAAACTTCTTCTTTAGCTCTGGATGCTTAGCAAAGTACTCATCTGCTGTCATTGTGCTGAGCTTTTTCTGTTACAAAAAAAGAAAAAAGATTTCCAACTACAGATACTTCATAGATAAGAGGTGGCCAGGTGGGGTTGGTATTTCTGTATTTCGGATCCTCTGCTTGGCCATGGGCGGTCTTGGATCATACCCGTATCTAGACAGCCCAGATCTTCTGAGAAAAAGAGCTAGGAAGCTGTTTGATGGTGAGAGGCTGAGTTGTGGGTCCCAAATGATATTATGGCATCATTGAGCCATGCAGAGGATCAGATCCTCCGCTTGGCAATGGATGGCCCTAGGATCATACCCCATGCCCAACCATCTAGAACTTCCAGACCTTCAAGACAGAAGATCGGGAGCCATCCGATCATTACAGTTGTAAGTCAAATGCTAATCACATCGCTCATTTGAGCCAAGTAGAGAGACACGATCCCCGATGCTCGGCTATGGGCAGGCCTTGGATCAGACCCCAATATTGGCCAATCTGTCCGACCAGTTCCTTCAAGCAAAAGAGATCCACAACCATTTGATTGCTATGGGTCATCATGCTGATCTGATGGCTCAGATGAGCCAAGCAGAGTGAGACACATCCTCTTCTTGGCCATTGGTGTCCCTTGAATCAAACACCGATCGTCTGATCCCATGCTGATTGGATGGCCCAGATAAGCCAAGCAGAGAGAAACAGGCGGATTGGGAGGGAGATGTGTGTGTGGGGGGGGGGGGGGGGGGGTTGAAGGAAAGGTGAGAGGAAGTCTTTTAGAGAATGAATGAGACCAAAAGTAGACTTGCAGTCACACCTTCAACTCTTGGACATCAGCAATTTCTTTTTCTAGTCTTTCAGACTCCTTGAGAGATTTTGCCTCAGCTTCTTTCAGCTCTACCAGCTACAGTGATGAAAGAAAATAGTTTTCTTAGGTACATTGCATAACTATATATGTTTAGCCGACCCCAAAATCCTTTGGGAATAAGGCTTGTATGTTGTTGTATGTTTAACAAAAGAAACTATTGTGATTATAATTTTAGTAATAATTGAAAAAGAAATTAAACGAAAGGTAACTCCCACGAAATACCCATATTTGGGTGAGATTATACTAAGATATGCTGAGCTTGAAGCCTTGAAGGAGTCTAAGTCCACTTTCCTCCTCTTCCTTCCAAATCCCTCAAACCAAACAAAAGGCTTAATGAAACTTGACAAGATTATTCTCATACTCTAGAGAGAAGTAAACACAGAACTCAGTTTCTGCTTTATCTTCAGAGTATATACCAATTGCTATTGACAACTCCTTCAACAAATGAGCACACAACTACATCTCTAAATGAACTAATCCAAAGAGGCAATCCAGATGAAGATGACGAGTATTGTTAGCAATTTACTATTACTAGATTAGTTTTGGTGGAGAGTTAAAAAAATTAAATATAAATGATTGAAAAAGAAAAAAAGGTAGAATAAACCATAGCAATGAACAGGGATGATTAAGGAAGGATATGTTGGAGAAGCAGAAATCATCAAAACAAATGTACGCAATTTTTAAAAACTATCTTACCAAGGCATCAAACTTCGGCTTATACTGGGGAGTGACAGTGTCTACATATTTAGGGATTTCAATGCCTGCATAATTACAAGTTGCTTCAAAATTCAGTGAAGACTTCACATGGGGGAAAATGTCTCTGATGGAAATGAAAATAAATATCCCCCAGTCCCAAGTTAAGAACAATTTACAGTTTACGCTGTTTGGCTGATGATAAAGTTAACTCCCCCTTTACATTTGCACATATAGAAACTATACTTACAGTTCTACTAAACCACACAAATTGAATTTGAGCATGACAAAGGTTTGGTACATTCAAATATAAAAAATTATACCTAAAAGAAGTTAAGTTGTCCGCATTAAATTCAAAGCGAACTTTGTTTACGGATGAAAGGAGTAGCTGATAGGTGTTAAGAACTAAAACTCAAGAGGAAAAAAATCAGTTTTCCAATTTGGACCTATAACCATCCTGGAGACATAAATCCCCTGGCTCTAAGAAATGCATAAAGACATTAACTTTTAAGATTTGGTAAATAAGTGCAATGCCACTGTCCTAACTCATAGAAAGACAGTTTCTACAAGCTGCGACTCAAATGGAAATGACATGTGAAAACAGAACATACTCTCATAGGCCTCCTTGTACATATCTACCAGGCGAGAACCAAGTCCCTTTCTGTAATATTCCCAGTCTATGGGTTCAGGTTCCTGTATGATTTAACAAATATCTCATTTGCAAAAGAAGCTAGTAATACTTGCATAAACTGAATTATAATTACATTATTTTTTTTAGTATTTTTACTGCCATGGACAAATAAACTCATCCCATTTGGATTAGAGAGTTGATGTTCTGCACTGCTGAAGAACATACTCTAAATACAGAAGAGAATATAGGTATTTGGTGCCCAAATGAATTCATAATGCAGTGTTAATTTCTCTTATTGAGATTTATAGCTTAATGATCGGGTGTTTGAAAGTAATTCTAGTCTTTCTATGTTCCTTTAGAGAGCCCCACACAGAATCAAATTTGGGTGTTGGAAAAAGGTTCAGAAACCAAAATCACTTCTAGCCGCCTCACCTAAGAACCAAATTTTGACAAGCCAGGATGACTAGCTTCTCACAAACTAGTTCTGATAATTGAAGGTTAATTCCCAAAATAGCCTGTACTAGAGAATAACACCTATATCAAATATATATGCATGGTGTGTGTGCGTTATACTACCTCCGTCCCATATTAAACTTCCAATTGCGGGTTACGAAAGTTTGACCAGCTACATAAACTTCCAATCCCATGGTGTGAAAACTCGGATTATTTTTAGAAAATACTACCTCCGTCCCAGGGAGAAGTTCCCAATTTCCTTTTTTGGCAGTCCCAACAAGAAGTTCCCATTTCCCTAAATGGAAAGTTATTCTACATCAAAACAGTGCCAAACAATGCAAAACAGTGCAAAACAGTGTCGAAACAGTGCCAAACAGTGTCGAAACAGTGCCAAACAGTAAAATTTACCCCCCAGTAACTTTATTTCCTTAATATGTGTGAAAGTCAACCCGGGAACTTCTGCCTGGGACGGAGGGAGTAAAATTTACATATTCAGAAACTACATCAAACCCGCTACAAAGCCTGCAAAAAATAATTCACTTTTTATAAAATTTTGATATATAAAGTAATAGTTAAGCCTGCAAAAAATAATTCACTTTTTATAAAATTTTGATATATAAAGTAATAGTTTAAGTGTGATTTAAGTTGACACTCGAAAAGCGAAATGGAAGTTTATTTAGGGACGGAGGGAGTAGTTTTTTCAATGTAATTTCTGTTTGACGGATCAGTTTGTTCATGTTATATTAGATATATCTTCTAACCGCAAGTTATTAAAAAAATCAAAAGACAATGCTAAACAGTTATAAAGAAACACTTCCTCGATTAACTAAAATTGATTTTTTTTTTACAGAAGTAGAACCAAAATCAATGCCTAAACCCTTCTAAACAGCAATCACCTATCCATATACGCAGATCCAAACGCCAAATCAATCTATAGCATTAAAAAACTCAAACTTTTAGATCCCCAAAAATAGAAATTGGAAAGCGACATAAGCATATAGTGAAAAGGGAGGAACCTGGCTGAACTTGGTCTGAAGCTGGGAATTAACCTCGTCGAAGGCGCGGCGGAGGGAACCGAACTCCTTGCGAGCCTCATCGGAGACGAGAAGCTTCGCCATCCCTTCCCAATCAATTGTCTTTCCGGCCTTAAACGCAACATCGGCAACCTTCTTCCCTACCCCGCTCATTTCCCCCCACTGTATCGGTATCTGTCCTCTCCGGCTTCTCTCCCTCCTTCCGACTTTGTTCGCAGTATAATTGCACACCTAAAATGAAAAACAATTATATTTGTAGTTTAACTACTTCCTACATCAATGACTGATAATGACATATATACCCTCTCCTAATAAAAGACTTAAAATAAATGACATTTACTCAAAAGGTCTGTTTGGTAAATGAGTTATCAGCTACGGAGTATTTTATTTGATTCTTTTTAATTGATGATCCGAAAAACTGAAATATGAAAAACCTAATGTGGGCAGTACTTTTTTTGCAAAGCTATAGAGATACGTCCTTATTTTGCACATACCCATTTACAGAGGGATACAGAATTACAGAGTTTGAATTGAAATAAAGCACAAATTTATCCAGAAATAGAGCATAAGAAGCGTGGAAAATTGAATGGTGATATTTCCTTTTGCTGGGTTAAAAGCTTTCTACTTCCGTATTGATTTTTATCACCTATACAAGTATAAGAATGCTGAATCTATTCCGATTTCTGAATCTTCTTACTTTTGGGATAAAGAACAGGGGATTTGTGGTTGACTTGTTAATGCTTGCAAGTGAGACTGTCAAAGCGGGATTGACAAAGAAAGTAGAGGTATACTTGGTATTTTCTTGAGTGATAGTTGGGTCCTTTTTGTTCTGTGAGTTTGATCATATCATAAAACATTTATGTATAAATAGTCAACGAGGTTTGCATTTATAACTATAAACTCTGCTAATCTGCCTTTGTACATTCTCTCAATGTTAGTAATGCTCCAGTTGTTTGAAGCAATATAACCTATCCTTGGACATACTTTGAAGGAGAATCTTTGTCGTGGACAATATGTCTCCCAGAGTAAGTTGTTCTTTGAGAAATACAATGTTATACCCACAAAAATAGAAAGCACAAAACTGTTCCAATGTAAAGAAGTTGGAAGTCAATTTCCCTGAAAGTCTGAGAATTGAAGAAATAATTTGCTTGTGGAAGATATTTTTCACAATTTTCAGTGCCAAAGAAATATAAAATACAGTATTACAGTGTCTTTGACCAAAATAGTATCATGTAAAGATATGTATTCTGAACCAGACAATGAATACATAGAAGAAATAGAGTGGACACAATTCCATTAAATTAGCATCTTCCTAAGCTTTCTCTATATTAATTCTTGCTTTTTTGTGGCATACCAGGAGGAGCCATAGTTGTCCTGACAGGAGCATAAGCCATTAAGCTCTATTTTTGCAGCGCTCAACATTCTTCACTATGTCAGTGGTGAATCCTTTTAAGAAGTTAGTCTCTTGTGTTATCCTTGATTTGGATGGCACACTTATTAACACAGGTGATTTGCATTCTTCCTATGTATTTATTGATCAAAAGATGAACACAACGATTCAATTAACTTCTGAGCCAGAGTGGACTACAACACATCCGTTCCTTTGAGGGGTATTCCATATTCAGTTGGTGCAATTCAGTGTGGGAACATGAATACGGAATAATTTAAATGTCAGTTACAGAGTATAATTTATAGGTAAAATTCCTGTAAAGTCGAGTAGTCAACAATACGTGATTTTAATTAATTTTTCATAAAAAATTTACCCCAAATAAGCTTGTTTTATGATGATTAGCTCATACAGTATACCTTTTACTGGACAACTTGGAGAAATTCTTTACATTTGAGATTTTGCAATCTTCTCCTTTTCTTTTGCTTAGTGGACACCAGTTTCTAACCCAGCTTGATTCTCTAATAGATGGCATTGTGACGGATATTCTAAAGCTTTTTCTGGTTAAATATGGAAAGCAATGGGATGGTAGAGAAGTTCACAAAGTAGTTGGGAAGACACCCGTGGAAGCTGCGGCTGTAGTTGTGGAAGATTATGAGATTCCCTTAACCAAAGAAGAATTGCTTTCACAAATTACACCAATGTTTTCAGAGCGGTACTATAAATGAATTTCCTTTATTTTGAGTTATGTGATTATTGAAGGTTCCCAGCCTCCACACATAAAATTTATGACACTATCAGATGATATTATTTGTAATTGACTCAAAATTTTACCTACACAATTAAAAGTGTAATTAAGAAACCCAAAAAAAAAAAAAATCGTGGCTATTCTCTACCTTAACATATAGTCGCATAATACTCCATCTCTAATTGTTATTTTCAAAGCTTAAGTCAAATTTAGTATTCTCTACGAAGGGAACAATAAGCAGCAAGCAAGCATGATAAGTATTGTGGGATGGAGGTAGTAAGTTTGATTGTTAATTACTTATTAGTAATTGTAGGTGGTCCAATATTAAAGCTCTTCCAGGTGCAGATCGATTGATTGATCATTTCAAGAGTCATGGTGTGCCCATGGCTTTGGCCTCTAATTCTCCCAAGTCAAACATAGAGGCAAAACTTTCTTATCATAAAGGTAGTCGATGCTAACCTAGTAAATTCAATGTCCTTTTCTTCTGCATATAAGTAGTTCATATAATAATGAAAAGAATAAATTCCACTTTTGGTCTTGTGAATTTTATGTCAATTCTACATTTAGTCCACGTCTTTCACTTTATCCACTTTTGGTACTTGATTAATATTTCACGACCATTTGTGGTCCTTTCGTCCAATTTTCCGACGCTTCTCTGGCAATTTTATTCATCGGATATATCGACGGAAGTACCATATATGGGCGAAAACAATAGCCACGTACCAAAAGTGGTCAAAGTCAAAGACGTGGACTAATTGTGGAATTGGTGCGATACTCGTAGGACCAAAAGTGAAATTTATTCTAATGAGAATATGACTTACCAAGTTCACATTTGAATAACTTATTTTAGAGTACATTTGCTTGCTATAGGTTGGAAGGAGTCATTCTCTGCTATTATAGGGGGTGATGAAGTTACAGCTGGAAAGCCAAATCCTGAAATGTACATGAGCTGATCTTTCTTGTGCAGATTCTTTACATTATATGCTCATGTGCTGACCTTATATATTTCTGTTCTCCCCTTGTTCAAGTTTCCTTGAAGCAGCGAAACGACTTGGAGTAAATCCATCCAGGTGCCTTGTCATTGAAGATTCATTGTGAGTTGAAGATCAAGTTGCATGATATCCTAGATAATTATGTATTTATATAGTACCATAATTTTTATGAACTAGTTTTAAATCGGTAAGACATTCATTGAGGTACTGAATATATAGAGATAATAAAGCAAGCTCATGTAACAGCATGTTTGAATGGTATTTGTTCCTTAAACGTTACACACCATAAGGTAGTACCTGAAAGTTTTTAAGTTACACCTTTGATCATTATATAAATTTGCATGCAGCATGTGATATGTAAGAATGATTTGATTTTCCTTGATATTTATTCTTGCAAGTGGAAATAACCTACAATGGTGACAGTTTTGTAATTTTATCTAAATTTTCTTTTGTAAGAAGATTGCAACAGAAAAGACGCACCATCATAAAACTTTGTCATTTTGTCAGTTTTAATTAAATTAGTAATTCCTTACAACCCACCTGAATTTGTTTGGATGAAGTGGTGCTGCTGCTGATAAATAACGAATTAGCAATAATTGCATGCATTTTAACTTCCTAATTACTGTATAGTTTGTATAATTCAATGGCTTCTATGTCAGAACTGGCGTTATTGCTGGTAAGGCTGCTGAAATGGAAGTAATTGCCGTGCCATCTCTTCCCAAACAGTCCCATTTATATAATTCAGCTGATGAGGTTATTAATTCACTTCTTGATTTGCATCCGGAAAAGTGGGGCCTGCCTGCATTTCAAGATTGTACGTTTCTCTAACGCTTTATGCTTATATTAATTATACTAGTATGTTTCAGTATCTAACTTGTGACAATAATGCTTTATGCAGGGGTAGAAGGAACTTTACCCATAGACACTTGGCATATTGGGGGTCCCGTCATTAGGGGATTCGGGCGTGGCTCAAAGGTGCTAGGTATCCCTACAGGTACATAAACTAACTTCTTGCAGAAACAATATACTTGTCCTTTGGATATTGGTTCTAATAGGATTGCCATAAATTTTAAGCACTACTTTTTTTAACTAGCATTTAAACTTGAACTTGATGTTCATTAGTGTAAATTCCACTTTTCGTCCTTCAGGTATAGTGACATTCTTTCTTGTGATTGTCAACATTAATATCTTCTACTATCTGATATATAAAGTGTTCTAGTTTCAGTTCAAATTATTCAAAATCCCATCACTTAGTAAACATTTTATAAATGTTTCATTGTACTGCATCTTAGGATGCTTTGAACATTCTGGGACGTGTAAAGTTTTTGAAACTCGAGTAAAAGTGAAAGATTATGGTCGGCAATTAAAAGTGGAAATGACACTAAAGTCGGAGAACCAAACGTGAGATTCACTGATTTGTATGTAATTATGCACCATAAAACGTCAATAGCGGATGAATGGGAGAATCCACGTCTAGTTTTTTATTTTTTATTTTTATATATACATATGGAGTAAAAAAAATAGTATCATACTAATAAGTTCTTCAGATAATATTTTCAGCAAATTTATCCACCAAGGGTTACTCAGATCTGCTTTCAGAACATCCATCTGGCGTGTATTTTGGGTGGGCTGGTTTATCTACTCATGGTACATACAAAATGGTTATGAGCATTGGTTGGAACCCATACTTCAATAACACTGAGAAGACCATAGTAAGTGTGATACATATTTAAGTAATATAGCACTACACATGTTTTTCTGAGTAATATATATGCATACCTTTCTTCAGATTGCTTCATATTCGTAAAAGTTAAAGAAACAATTGTTCTTTCAGGAGCCATGGCTGCTACATGACTTCAGTGAGGACTTCTATGGGGAAGAATTGCATCTTGTTATTGTCGGATATATACGGCCTGAGGTAGTGCATACTTTTCATGCCTTTATATACTTTCCCCCAATTTATTGACTAGATATAAAACATACGATAACATGATAGGCTAACTTTTCATCGCTTGAGAGCTTGATTGCAAAGATTCACGAGGATGGTAGAATTGCAGAGAATGCACTTGAGCTCCCTCTGTATGCCAAGTACAAAGATGATCCCTTCCTGAACAATTCATGATTTATCTGAGGAAGGAGTACAGCTGGTTGGTTTCTTAATTTGAGTGAACCTGTGATCACCATATATCTCATGTGCCAATGGTTGCCAGTTGAGCATGAATGTAAAGGACTACAGTGGGGGTGAGAATGTGAGATAGACTCACACATTTATTCCATATATATACAAAAGCTAATTATTTGAATATAGATCTCTTCATAACTAAGCCATTTCATCAATATAGCTATATAGGCCACAATTTTGACTTGAGAAGATTCAGCTAAACATGACCACACTAAACTGGCTCCAAATGTTGTTGCATCTATGGTCATGCACAATGAAGTTATAACCTAAGTAATGTAAAAACTAAGAATGCCATGATCATGGATGGACTGGGACAAGTCGGCCCAACCCGGGCCCGGTACTGTTTAGACCCAGCCTGGCCCGTTACTGCATAGGCCCGGTCCTGTGTCGGTGGCTATAAGGACGGGCTTCAGGGTCGATATTTTTGGGCCCGGCCCGGGTTCGGGGCTGATTGCACTATTTTTTTTAATCCAATGCCTAGTCCCATCCCGAAGCTCGACACGTTACTGTTTGGGCCCGGCTCGAACTGGTCCCGGTACAAACCCTGGCCAATACTGGGCCTTAAATCCTTAAGCCCGAAGCCCACCCAGTCTCGGTCCAGTCCATCCCTAGTCATGATATGCATATAAAGACACTAACTTCATTTTTTTGCTTGTTCCTTTTTCATTATATATGGGGTTTTTCCTAGTGTTTGTTCTACTCATTTGGCAATAACAAGGGCATAAAAGTCCTTACATTCTCATCTCTTCCCAAGTGGTCTACTTCATTTCATTTTTGACTGTTTCAGTTTTTCTAAAGTACTCCGTATTTACCACCATAGTTGTGGTATCTCTAAAAAAATTCAGTGAAGCAAGTAAAAATAAACAGAGCAAGTACCATTCTGTTTCTGGTTTTATACGAGATATCATGACTAAAAAGAGGAAAACAGGAGTTTGAAACTAGTTAACTAGGTAAATCAAATTACTAAAAAGAGTTTATGGCATCAAGGTCTATCAGTTCTAGAACCATCAATTATCGGTGATTCTCTAAATCCCTTCGTAACTCCATCTGATATATTTGGTCAAATACCGGCAAACACCTGTATGCCTTTCAAGAAGGTATTTCTGAACTTGTCTGAAAAAGAATATATTGGACTTTTATTCTAAAATACGTAGTAGTTATTTTCACCCGATACATTATTGACTAATATACGAAGTATTCAAATACTACGAGTTGTTAGGGTAGACAAAGGGTCGCTGGTTTGGTCTGCCCAGCTCACCCTTATAAAAGGCGGGCGGGGACATACCTTAGCTTCTCCATTCTGTTTAAGTTAGTTGCACGTAGTAATATTTTCATTCTCACATTTGTTAATGCAAAATTTTGACCATTTGAAGAGCAGACGTGCAACCGACATTTTGATATATTTAGTCAAATACCGGCAAACGCCTATATATGCCTTTGAATGATCCTCGACCGACTTGTCCTCTCTGTTAGTTTATTCGCGTATAATTCGCGTATAATACACTTAAACGTATAATTCACGTATAATACTCCCATTAATGAATTTTTCAAATTTTATTGAAAAATTCACGTACTTTAAGGATAAAATGTATAATACACGTACCGTACGTATTGATACGTATTTTGTTCACGTATAATACTCCTGTTTATGAATTTTTCAGAAAATTCTGAAAAATTCACGTACTTTGAAGATAAAATGTATAATACACGTACTGTATGTATTGATACATATTTGATTCAAAAACACACACCATTAAACGGAAGCCTAATGGAGTGATACAACTGAAATGAAATGTCTAGCTGCTCAATATTATTTATATTACTTAAAAAACTTTATGTCTTATATGTTCATTAATTGTTTAATAGTCATTACATTTAGAGAATTAGCTTCTTAAATTCGTAATCCGTTTCGAAATTAATATTGTACTACTACTGTATTACTTTTGTTCTCCAATCATACCAAAACTCCAAAGAGATCGAAAAATGTTGTGGCGGCTCACCAAACTCACGGTCAAAGTAATATCAACTTCTCTAGTAATGTCTCTCTACTTATACTTAAATAGGCAGTGCCATTCTTATTACTTATTTTACCTATGCATATAAATCCGCATATCTGAAAAACTATTCCGTACATTTTAAATTGTTGAAGAATGTGGTGCAAATGTTAAATAATAACTCTTTATTTCTATCATTAAATTAATATACAAGACACATTATATGCCGTATTTTAAAATTGTGAAACGTTTAAAACGTGTTCGTATCTTTATATATTTCACGAACGTATGAAACATATATTAAGCCGTATTTTATATAATTGTATCGTATTATACACGAACGTACGTATTATTGTATTATTCGCGAACCGTATATTACTAACAAAGCTTGTCCTTACTCCTTGATTGGTACTCCAAATTAGGGGTGGGATCGGGATGATCCCGATCCCGATTGCCCAAATCCCGATCCCGTCCCGATCCCGATTCAAACTACAAGAGAATCCCGTATCCCGTCCCGATTAAGTCGGGATCCCGACATTAAAATCCCGATTAAGTCGGGATCCCGATCGGGAATCCCGCTAAATCCCGACAATGAAGTATCAAACATAAAATTATGTAATTTCTTTAGTTAAACACTAAAAGAAGATGTGTAACGTATATTATTTAAAATTCAAAACTAAGAAGACTCATTGAGAAACTTTGTGACCAATGAATATAATGTATAAATACATATTATGATTATTTACTAAAGAAAGAAATCTTAGTCTCGATCACTTTAAAGAGTTCATCAGAACCGCAAAATTTGTAATATTGTTGTGATTTAGATTGTCGGGATCAAGAATACTCTCTATTTAGTTAGGATCCCGAATATTCATTTTCGGACAAATGCCGAATAGTTTTAGAAGTTTGATATTGTAAGATAATCGTAGTAAAAACTTAATCTATGTAAGGAATAAGTAAATAAAAAAGATATGCAAATATTTAGATACATTTTCATTTTTATATATTTATATTCATTTTTATATATTCATATATAATTATATACGTGTGTATATAGATATATATAAATATTTCTATATTATATATATAGTGTCGGGATGTCGGGATTTTCCCGATCCCGACTTTTTAAAAAAAAAAATCCTGGTCTTGTCCCGACTTAGTCGGGATCGGGAAAAATTCCCGACTAGTCGGGATCGGGATTGTCGGGATCGGGATTATCAGGATTGTCGGGATCGGGATCGGGAGTCGGGAGTCGGGAGTTTTTTCCCAGCCCTACTCCAAATCTTCTCTTCCAACCTCTCTTAGATCCTCAATCTAATAATCAATTGTTATTTTATAAGTATGATTTAGTTAACGGTGCCTAGCTAGCAGGCCTGCATGTATAGGGTCGACAAAATGAGAGGCCATTATATAGTTGGTTAATGGTTATGTTACAAGACATGCCTCTCGACGATGTTTAATTAATTTGAAAATAACATCATCATAAGGTTGAACTCGTCTACCTCCGTTAGTATACAGCTGCTAATAATTAAAGCATAGCAACCAATTACAGGCTTACAGCTAATAGCCTAGATACTACGCATAAAAAACTAAAAGATGATCGAAGAATTATTTGATTATATTATTTTTATGCCGTGTTTGAAGTTGAACTTGTTGGGAAAATGTGTTCAAATTGCATTAATTGATCAATTTGGGGCAATATTTTGAGTGGGGTCCACTTCCGCTTTGGGTCCGGTCAAAGTGATTTCAGATTGTCCTTGTTAAGGGCTTCTTAGATTGATGGGAAAAAAGAATGTTCACTCCTTCTGCTGAAATTTATGAAATTCTGGCTGAATTAGCTGGATTGACTGATTCTGTTGATCAATGAAAAAGCTATATTTAAAATATTTTTTATTAGTAAAGTAAAGAAAAAAATATAGGAAAAAAAGATAAAATGATCCTCTACAATGACTTTAGCCAACACAGCCAAAAGAGTAACATCAATATAATCTTACTTTTTCTTATTATTGTACTCCGTACAATTTAGCGTGCGAAATCAAAAGTTACGTGTTTGATGAAAAAGTTGGTTGATAACCGATAACCCGAAAAGCAGAGTTACCAAACGAGCTCTTAGTATCACTATTACCAATGGATCAAGGCTATACTCTGTATCATATATTATACGGAGTACATAGTATTATATACATTCTCTGTCCCATTTTACATGTCCTACTTTCCTTTTTGGGTTGTCTCAAAATAAGTGTCTCCATTCCTTTTTTGGAAAGAAATATGTGGTCTACACCATTTCACTTTATTAATTATATTCAAACCTCAACCAAAACTTTTACTTTTTCAACTACTTTATTAATAATTGTGCCAAGTCAAATTAAGACATATAAAATGAGACAGAGGTAGTAATAATTATGTATAAATATATATGTAAAGCTAAATAACAAATATTATCATTTGTAAAAATAAAACTGTCCATGACATGTTTTATTGTCCAAATTTTTCTTTGTCCAAATTTCGAAAAGTTTTAAAAGTCTTCACCCCGTTACATTTTTACCTCACGAAGGACCATCACAACTAATCCCATAATTCATTATACGGGCTATCGCTAAATCACTCAAAGAATTGCAACAACTCACCGAAATATACGGGAAATATTTATTACTACCTCCGTCCTCCTAAGTTTAGGACAAGAGAAGGTGGCACGGTTATTAATAAAAGTGGGTTTATGTGGTTGATATTGATTGATAAAGTAAGAATAAAGTAGGAATGATTTAGAACCACACAAACTTTACCAAATAAGGTATGAAACAATCTTAGTGGGACGGACCGAAATGGTAAAATGGGACAATCATAGCGGGACGGAGGGAGTAGAAATTATTTAGAACTTTTAGTTTTTTATTAGTATTGTTTTTTATGTTCTTTGAGAATCTTTTATCCAAAAACTTTCAGTACTTGCATGTTTAATTTTAAACTTGTGGTTGTTTAACTTCTTTCTCAATTCAAATTAATGACTTATTGACTATGTTTATATTTTGAAATGCACTAGTGTATGTATATGAGACAATGTATGAATTTTTTTCTAACTATATTGAGAAAATTTGCAATGCCATGAATGGGCAGGGGATAATATATGTATATATTTTCAAAAATCTTGTGTTTTTAAATTTACAAATGCACCCCTATAATTTTTTATATTTATAAATACACCTCCATAACTTTTAATATTATAAATATATTCCTGCATCCGTATCATACTTTTTTGGGTTTGTCAATCCCCGTACACATTTCCGCGTTTGCGGGTTCCAGTATTGGTGCTACATAGAGTGCAGTAAATGTCGTGCAATAACGTCTGCAAAAAAGTGCATTATTTTTTTGTTAGGCGAAAATAGTTCAAAATGCACAGTTTTTAAATAAGGGTATTTTGGTTCCTCAACATTTAAATATGACAAGTTTTCCTTTTTTTTCTTTTCAATCATATGAATATCTAAAACAATGCAAGTCACTCAAAAATAACAATGCAAGTCATATTTAAAGAAATTCAATACGGAGCATGTTAAGGTCAACATCATTGAATTGAGATGATGAGATTCGAACTTCTGAACTCCTATTACGAAGTGTCATAGTTATGTCGTCAGACCATACATTACTTGTAGTTATACTTTGTAAGTTTGTATATCTACTCGGGAATCTTTCCTAAGTGTAATAGTGATCAACATCCATACATACATAAGCTAGAGATGGGAATTATTGAATAAATAAGTGATGTAAATTAGTAAATTACTGGTTGATGTAAGAAAAACATCTCAATGTAAGTGGGCTCGATCTCACATTGAGAACTATATAATACACTCTACTTAACTCGAAAGAGAAAATAATACGGAGTGGTATACTGCAATTTATACAACAATGTGCATAAACTGATGCAACTGACTCATATATATCATGCATGCATGCATGATAGACCTTTAATATGTGTTGAGATGCATATATTATTTCTACGTACGTACACATGGATCGATGGGCATGCATATATGTCTAAGGCGATATGATGGTGTCAAGATTCGATAAAGCTAGCTAGATTGATCCCAAAAATATCAATTCCCACGGAGTTATTACTGTCTTCAAGGAAGGTTAGCTGGTTGGTATTATGATGTATGGGGTTTATGGTGCGATGACGATCATCTTCATCATCATCATCAACCATATTGGATGATGAGAGTTGTTGATGGTGATGAGGGGCTTTTGCCGCGGCCTGCGTATAAAACATGGCCATGAGATTAGCCTGCCGGAGCTGGAGGTTGAGAAGCTCGGCTTGCGCCATCGCGAGCTGCCCTTGAAGCTCGTTCACTTGGTTTTGGAGCTGGCAGATTGCTCCGGCGCTTCCGTACACCGGATCTCTCACCCGAGCGTTTGCTTCGTACACCAAACTGCTCACTGCATCCGCCCTCTTCGCCTCTGGCAATTCCTGTGTTATATTTCCAAACATGCCATATATTAATATACGGGTCCGGCTCAATATATTAGGAGATCCGGTGCAAGTCACAAAAAATAGGTCACTATATAGATTTTACAAAAAACTCGGCCTTATATTTTTGGAGGCCCCGTGCAAAGGCACGCTTTGCACGCCCTCATCTACAGCCCTGTTAAATTTACAGTTGAAGTCCCACACAACCACACTCACTGATACATTAAGAAGTAATAAATTGTTATATTAAGACCATGATCTACTTCTTCTATTAGATTTATTCTTTTAGGATGGAACTCCAGATCTTAATTGGTATCGGAGTTAAATCGATGCATATCTATGGTGTTAGGCCTTTATGAAAAATGACGTCACGATTATAAAAAAAATGACAATGACAAACCGACGAAAAAAAATGAATGACGCGGCACGATCCAGACGAAATGTCTGGTCGTAAGGAGGGGTGTTAAAGTCTCATACTAGTAAATTACGAACTAATAAAGTGATATATATATTAAGATCATCCGCTACTCTTCCTATATACTTAGTATGTTGTCGATATTGATGAAATTCACAACTTCGTATATTAGCACATGATTTACTTTTGTGATATTCTCTATATATCAATACATACACATATACAAAAAATATCTTCCCATACAAATTGCAAACAAATAAGAATTGCAAACAAATAAGGAGAATCGGATCTAAAACCTAATGGTTAAATCAAGAGATTTTTGCAAATAATAATTTGTAGGGTACTAGCTTAGTGAATCACATATGATAACCCATTCACTTCTTATTGGCTCGGTTCATGTGTTTAATGGCCTATTGGCCTAGATAGTGAAACAATATTAGGGTGAGTACGTGGTTCAAGAAACTTTTTCTCTTAATTTTTTACATATTAGGGTGAGTACGTGGTTCAAGAAACGTTTTCTCGTACATAAACGTAGACATGTTTTAAATTTGGTATGTGCTCCGCATGTGTTAACACTTCTGTAAATTATACTCCTTTCATCCTAAATCAGGTTCTCCCTTTCATATTTAGAATGTCCACAAACACAAAATATAAAGTCCCAAAATCAAATTTACACTCCCCTTTTAGTAAAAAGATTCTTTTCTTTTTGAATAGAATAGCATTAATTGGTCACTTTTTCTAGCATACTTTTAAAGTGACAACTCCGATACCCATTTAAAAAACAGGGTACCGTACCTACCACTCACGTGATTGGTCCAAATCATTATATCATTTTTAATTTAGATTTAAAAAAATCAACTGCAACATTGTGATTGGTCTATGTGGACAAATGTATGATACCTTTTTGGGCATCATAGAATCTACCTACTTTTAATTATGATTTCATTTAAAGTCAAAAAGAAATTATTTTGTTTGAAAATACGTAAATTGAAACTAAATACTTAGTTGAAGTACATAAACTACTTTGTTACATAAACTATTTTGTTTGAAACTCATAAACTACTTCTTTTCTTCTCTTCTTTTGACTTCAATTATGGAGAAAAAATTGTTTCATCAGTATTTTCAGTTCTATCTATACGTTTATTTCCTAGCGTTTTCTAAAGATATTATTTTCAATGGCGAAGTGTCTTTCGCCAGATCTATATTTCCCGCCAACATCGGTCGGGTGTTCTTGTGTGCTAGTAAGAGGTTTGTATTGGCTTCTTTATCAATCATGAATCATGATTTCTTTTGCATCGATATAGAGGCCGATCGCCCCCCTCCTGAACGACCGCTGATCCAGGAAGATGACATTGGATGGATTGCTTTCTTTCCGGTGGGTAGTCAAACCGGAACAATTTCTGCACTTGGCTCCTTACCGGTGGCTGGAAATACTGGCAATTTCAATAATTCCTTCGGTGGCTGGTCAAGCCGAACCCATTTCGAGTAGCATGAGCAGACACAATGCGGTACGAGTCTACATTGTTGCAGGGTTAGCGAACATGAATGCTTTTATATGGCGTTTTAGTTCTTTGTCTCACTCTAGTGTAGTATTGAACACTATGATTGTAATGATTCGGCTTTTAGTTGTTATGTTTCTTGTTAAGATCTGATTATCAATAAAATGGTTATTTGATTTTAAAAATAAAAGTCATGAAATTATTATTTAATTTTTGTTAATAACATAGGAGTTGGATATACTCATTTAATACATTTGCACCTACCCCACGTGTTAAACTTAAATTGGTTTTCTAACATATCCAATGAACAACCTCTGTATCCTCATGCATGTCTTTAAATAAAGAACGTTTGCACGTTTCACACTATTTAATGGCGTGTTTGTATGAAATTTGATTTGTCATATCATTATGTCTATTTGACTAAGAGAAAGTGGATGATTGACAATGCTAGGTGTACATCATCAAGGGAAATGTCTCAGAAAGGGAAGACGGTGATGAATACTTCGTATAATGTTACTAGTATTTTTTAAGTGTACTTTTTCCTAATATTTAAAGGAACATGAAAATAGTCTCCGATCCAGGACAACAGAATATATTGGGTGAGCGGTAAGAAAACAGAATAGTAGTCCTTTCACACATTTTTTTTATAGATAAAATAAAGGTTTTTACCAAGTTTACAATGAACTGTGGCTAGACATGATCCCCTAGCTAGTTAATTATACTCATATATGAAATATGATCACTAGTAATTACTAGATTAGATTTCTTAATAATCTCACCACTCATTCATGTATCCAATGAAGAATACATCTTCTTAATTCTTAGACACAATTACTAGTAATTTAATTCATACAATAGAAACAAAAAGGGATAGAAAATAATTCATAATAAACGTGAATTTGTTGAACTTGAATTAATGTTACCTTAAGTCCAAAATGGACTTCATAGTTATTATAATTCATATGATCAATTTAGAATGGAACACAATATAAAGAAGAGAATAATAATTTGAATATTTTCTGAAGTTATATAATTAAATGTATCAATTAGTCGATCAATTTCATATGATAACTCATAGTTATTATAATTCATATGATCAATTTCATTTTTTAATCTCTAACTTCATTTAAATTACAATTACTAACACAAAATTATTTGTTATAAGAAAACAGTAATCTTTACCGCTAGTCAAACATAATAATTTGTAAATGAAGCTTAATATATATATGAAATAAGAAATCAAAAATTAAGTGTATTAAATTGCTCTATTTAAAAGTAAAACTTGAGTTGTGTGTACATGTACTAGCTAGAATACTTCTTTTTTCGTGAAAAGATGACTCGTTCAGTAGTAATAAATGTATGAAATATTTAAAATTCTTTAATAATTATAAAAAAGGATGACACCCCATCCCTGAGGGCCCCCAACACCGACCGGACGATACGTTGGGAGGATGTAAATTGGACTATAATCACAATCTGACAGATAGAGAGTGGGACTCTGTCCTCGGTACTTGCAGAGGTCCTATGCATTTTTTAGCATAGTAACCCCTCATCGTAGTTGTCAGGATTCGAACCCGAGACCTAACCCTTGTGGCACTCCCTTGCTACCACTTGAGCTACACCCACCGGTTAAAACTAAGGTATGGGTAAACTTTTTATAGTGACTAGCTCCACCGCTTTTCACGGCCCCTTACCCCAGAAATCCAACTTTTGGCTTGGCCTTACGGGTTAGTATACACCGCTTGGCCCTACCACTTGAAGGGTTTTTTTTGGAGGAGCATAGTTCCACTGGTGCTAGTGGGACTCGAACACGAGACCTCTCCTATGTGTGAATGGGTTGTTCTTTTACAAAACAATGCGGCCGATCTTATTTGGACAGAATATTACCCGTTCTTGTTCTATCTAGGATTATTTCTTTTTTAAAGATATTTGACTATTGAGGTTACCTATAATCAATGGCGGACCCACTAAGGGTCCCACGGGTCCCGGGACCCCGTGGACTTCCAACAATACCTTTATATATTATTTATATTTTAAATAAAATTAATGCGTAAATGTATAAAATTAACAATTGCGCCAAATGGAATCAGTAACTTCAGCAGCTGTACGTGAGGAGTTAATCCCTCTATTTTCGCGGAGGTGCGTGGCTCGATTCCCGCAAGGCTGCTCTCCCTTTTTGTCTTTTTTTGCATAATTCATTTAGATTTAAACTTTGCACCTTTTTGGTATTTTTGCATAATTCATTTAAATTTATATTTTGCACCATTTGTATTGAATTTCAACCACCCAATGGAAGGAAATTCCCAATCAATCCACTGCCTTATTTCTTTGTTCAGTTTTTACTTTTATTGAATTTTAACCTTTGCATAAATCATTTTTTGGGATTAATTATTAAAATTTATTTGGATGTTAAAATTAAATTATTAAATAGAATTTGCTCAATATACGACTAAAACTTATACAATGTTCAAAAATAGGACAAAATATGTTTTAATCCCCAAATGAGATTTATTTGGTCCTACTAAAAGAAAAACTTGACTAAAATTTTCCAAAATAGGAGTGAATGAGTCTTGTTTTGGGAATAAAACATTGATTTTCAAATTATGAATTTTATCCATAATAGGAGTGAATTAGTCCTATTTCAAGAATGTTCTCATTATTAAATTTGTATATTTATGAATGTTTTTTTCAATATTTTACAATTTAGGATGAAAAGATATTTCAGTAGCGTACAAAGATTTAAAGAAATTTGGAGTATCATGAGTAGTTAAGATGTTAATTCAAATGATTTGTCATTAGTAAAAGAAGAATTGTATCAAGTAACTGATGAAAGTGAAACTAATTTGACTTATAAGTTACATAAACAACATGTTGATTTTGAACCTTTAGAAGTTGATCCTAGATTGAGAGGGAAAATGTTCATTTTCATCTTAATGTTCAAGACGATGTAAGTCACAGTTACATTCAAAAAGGGTCGTTTCACCCTCGGAATCATGATTTCCCTTTTAAGGTAATTGGCGGAGATTTGTTTCAAGTTGGTTTGATGAGCATTAATGGTTTCAAATACACTTTTGCCAAAAATGCCGCATTTTGTTTATCATGTTTTTTTATTTAAGAGTGAGTGGGAAGTTGGTGGTGATCGTGTTTTGGGAATAGGGTTTTCAGATGCTACATTTTGTTTACCATTTTATGTTACTTTTAAGATCGATGCTGCATTTTTTTACCATCTTATTTGTTTATCATGTTATTTGTTTAATTTTATACTAATTAGGATTACATTTAGATAGGGACCCCGTGACTCTATTTTTCTGAGTCCGCCACTGCCTATAATTGTAACACCTTAGATCTTACTCCGTATTAATTTGTGGAGATTTGCTCATCTAACCCCATAGGTAACACCTTCTTTCCTACATTGAAGTATCGGCAATGGAAATTTTAGGACATCTCATTGAAGTTTAAGCGACTTCTTATTGTTTTTCATGGAAGAAATCTTATTAGTATTGACTTTTCTATTATACTCTACTTATAAATGGTATTGAGCGTCCACTAATAGAGTAAAAATGGGTGTAAAAATAAATGAAATGAAAGTGAAGTTATCATTCATAATTAAATACTCCGTATGTTTCTAATTTAATGTGGGATTTCAAACATGACCGTCTAATGAATATGAAAGCCCCATTCCAAATGTAAAATTGAAGTCCACAATTCAATACTCAAACAATTTAAATAAAGGAGAACTAAACCTACAAACCGATTCAAAAAAAGATGAATCTGCATTTTTCTTTCTTCATCACTGTATTTATAGACTATTATTAATACGTAGTGTATAATACGAAGCACTATCATAAATAATATTCCCTTCGGTTTTTATTAAACTTCACTCTTTGACTTCACACAAAATAAAGAAAGAAATTTGACTTTACTGTAGAGTACACTGTTGAGGCACTGTTTGACACTGTTTGGCACTGTTGAGACACTGTTTGACACTGTTTGACACTGTTTGGCACTGTTTTGATGTAGATTTCTTTTCCAAAAAAGGAAATAAGGAAGTGTGAAGTTTATTTTAGACTGTCCCAAAAAGAAAAGTGTGAAGTTTATTAAAAACAGGAGGGAGTATTAATAAATTTGTAAAAAATTGGAGCTTTATAAATTTCCGTGGAACTCGTTTAACCTCTTAAAAAACAGCTCTCATTTCCGAGTAAAGAAAGTGAGAAATTAATTAAGAATAATGGAACACGATATAAAGAAGAGAATAATAATTTAAATATTTTCTGAAGTTATATAATTAAATATATCAATTAGTCGATCAACTAAACAGTGATATCGAGCCCGTTTGGAGAACTCTGTTTTCGGCTTATCAGGCTTATCGGCCAGCTTTTTCACCAAACACGTAACTTTTACTTTCGCGTGCTGAATTGTGTAATAAGCCGAAAAAGTAAGGTTGGAGTTACTTTTCTGGCTGTATTGGCTGAAGTTACTGTAGAGGACCATTTTAGCTATTTTTACATATAATTTTTTCTTTAATTTATTAGTAAAATATATTTTTAAAATATTTTTTTCTTAAATCAGCAGAATCAGCCAAAACAGCCACTCCAGCCAGAATATCATAAATTTCAGCAGAATAAGCCCAAACAGCCGATTTTGGTGCTACCAAACGGGCTCATCAACTTCATTGATTTGAAGAACGGAGAGAGTAATTAATATATATACCTGCAAGAGTTTGATGATATTACTGGCCCCAAATACACGATGAGCGGTAGTAAATTTGAGAGGATCATTGGGTGGAAAATACGGCGCAAGCACACATTTCTCAGCGCATCTCCGCCTTAGGATCTTACAGGCGGCGCAGGGGCTGACGATGGCCACCGCCGGCGGCGGAGTGGGCGGCGGGGTTGGAGAAGAGGAAGACATTGAGGAATTCGTGGGGGTGGGGGTCTCACTCGACGATTCCATCGTATCCATCATCCAATACTGATCGAGGACCTATAGATAGAATTAAATAATTAAGTGTTTGTTAATTGTTATTGTTATTATTATTATCCTAGCTACAAGCTAAGCTAAGCTAAGGAAAGGAGGAATTCTGGTGTGTACTGGTAAAAGCAGAGGAGGAATTATGGGATCCAGTTTTGATATGTAACATGTTGTCAGTAAAGCGTTATATAGACACACGCATAAAGAGGGAAGTCAAGGGAACAAGGACGCCCATCATAATCATACTGTATTTTGTTTGACCTCACAGCAAGTAGTTAATTTGCTTAAATGAATAAAAAAAGGATAAAACATTGATACATATATCTAGTAATTAAATATTGCAATTAACTAAAGCAGGTTACCTTTGACAGAAATGGTCTTCAATTCCTCTTCTTCCCTATCCATTAAATTGAGAGTTTTTTACAATTTATTTATGATCTAATTGTGGGTGCTTTTGTACTCCCAAAAATTCCGCTTTAATTTTAGTGAATGTTGGTTAGAATATGGTATTTTTACTTGGACTGAAATATGTTGGTCTGGTCTATTTAAGTTTGATCTGATCTGAATTTTCCAGTTTTGGTCTAGTAAATGTCTGATCTATGTGTATTTTATAAATATGAAAGACTGATTTGTTCTGATGTATTTAAGTCTGGTCTGGTCTGGGACTGGAAAAAATCCAAGTAAAAACATCCCAAAGTACGTTAAGAGAGAACAACAACAACATCCAAGCCTTAGTCCCAAAAGATATTGAAATTGGCTAACATGAATCGATACATGATATCACCACCAAAAGGAAAAGAAAGAAAATAAAGATAAAAAAGATAAGCTATTATGAAAAAGATAATATAAAAAGAGATGAATATACCTAAAAAATGATAAAATAAAAACGATAAAAATAATGTTTATATATATAAGGATAAAAGGATTTAAAAAATAGCTTAAAAGGGGGGGGGGGGGGGGGGGGAATAAGGGAAAAAGATGATACGAGATCACTCATCCACACGAATACCCACCCTCCACTTTGCTCTCTCCAAAGCCATACGCTCATCTAACCCAAGAAGAAGCATATCACTTCAGACTCCCCTAACTCACGTCTGTTTGGGCCTTCCTCTCCCTCTCTTCCTTGTCTCTTCTCCACACATCTCAACTCGTCTAACGGGTGCATCACTCGATCTTCTACGCACATGACCAAACCACCGTAGGCGCGACTTCCACATCTTGTCTTCAATAGGTGTTACTCCCACTCTTTGTCTGATTGTCTCATTCCTCACGTGGTTCTTCCTAGTATGCCCACATATCCAACGCAGCATGCGCATCTCCGCCACACTCATCTTTTGAATGTGACATTGTTTCCAAAACTTAAAGTTCATTTATCTCCGATGAAAGGACACAACACTAGAACCTGTCGAGATTAGTTCTTCTTAAAGGAAACGTCCTAAATGGGACTAAAACATGTTTAAAATTCCAAAGTACAACTATAAGTTTTTATTCCCCAAATCGGACTCCAGATTACCTTATTACCCTTCTCCTTTAAAATAGTCGATCGAGTCTTCCCCTCTTCCCCAACCTAGATCGCAACCTTCTCCCTCTCAATTGAGCGCCAGACTTCTGCCATGTGACTTTCTCATTGGCCGCAACTTCTCCACCATCAACCACCCGCTCATCGAATAACAGCTTATCCACAATCGATCGCAGTCATCTGCTCATCCAAGCAAGCATAGGCCTCCTCCTCCTTCTTCTCCCCCTCCTCCCCCTCCCCCCCTCGTCCTCGTCCTCTCCTCCTCCTTCTAACACTAGCACCACAATAATGGATAACCATCATTTGGATTATATTGTGGTCCATAACACTAGCACCACAATAATCAACTTTAAAAAATACCCATCAATTGAGAGAATTTAGAATAAGATGACTCGTCACGGATTTACAGGACTCTCTTGCCAGTTTGGCCATGTAAACATCACTTGAGCTAAAATTGAGACTTATGACACCTTAAGGCTAGGAAAACCATCAAAAGCCGATCCCAACACGCATCAAATGCGTGTTGAAATACAAACTTATCAATGACGGTGTTTAATACTTGGCTAATAGTAAGATTGTTAATGAACGGTTTCGTTATTGACAACTACCCTCGACGAATGGGAGATACTCAGTATTCGAGAGGGGATAAGTTAAAAAATATAACCGGGATCGACAAACAATTTAACAAGTGGACAGTAGCAAAGACAAGTCTTTTATCTCAATAATAAAAATGATCATATAAGTCGTTCATCTTAGTATTTATTTATTCTATCTCAAATCAAACAATCTTAAAGATGATTATTGAATTTTACGTTTATTGAGCATTTGGCCTTTGAGTACACTATATATATATATATATATATATATAGATTGATTTAGGTTCGTGTGAGAACTTAATCTTAGGAGAGTAAAAAAGAATGATCTAGAGCCGTTGGATTGCAACATCATTTACATTAATTAATTAATTCGTAGAAGGGTATATGAGTAATTCACAATCCTTTCCTTTAAAACATGATCCTACGTTTTAGCACATGATAATAGTTGTTCTCTTATATGGAGTATTCATTATATCTTTCCATATTCATTTAATTTCTTTTCTTTATCTCATCATCTGTGATTCCTATCATCATCATCATCATCGACAACCTCCATCGGGGTTTCTGGCCACTGCGAGAGAGGACTGAAGATGATCTGGAGATGGGCAAAAATTCTCCTCCGCCGTCCAGAGGTGTTGTGCCGGGCTTTAATGCTTCTGCCGCTTACTTTGTATCACATCATTCCTTAATTGGGACCATCTTCATGTGATATGTGTAGGTTGCGTTTTATGAGTTCTCCAATTTCTTGTCTTAGTCATTAATTACTCCGTGTTAGTTTCTCAAAATTATATTCTTAAGGTATAATATATTTCTTGTTTTGGTTTATCTTCGATCATGTTGTGCTCATACAGACTACAAGTATATTTTTTTGAAATTCATTTTATTCATCTTAAAGGTTGAAAAATCGAAATTGGTAGTTTATTCTAAAATTATGGTTTATTTGCTTCATCAAACTCATTCAATGATTATGGTGCATTAGCCATTGTTTTTAAAATGTCAATGTTAATTTTTTTTATATGCATTTAATTTAACAGTTTTTAGATATTTTGAACACGATTTAAATTCGATTTAAGTCATGTAACCATACATGCTTATTGTTGCACATTTACATATGATTGTTGTATACTTTTTAGACTTGTTATAATTGCACTAAACTAATTATTAAGTTTCCAGATTTGCACTAACAATTAGTGCACCTACATTATTATGTGATGCATTTACATGTTTGGTATGGAACACTTTCATGATAGCTGTCAATTTGATTTTCATATAGTAATAAAGATGGTTTTCTATTAAGTTTTTGATGCACTTATCATGCTTTGATCATGCACTTTCATTAGTTTTTACTTTTTGATTTTTTTTTGCAGATATGATGCAGTGCCAATAGAGCAACGATGATCCATTTGGAAGAAAAAGTGCATTTTGTTTTGTATAAATGTCAATGTAAAATTGTAGAAAGTTTGTTATAATAGTGCACTTTTGTATGTATACCAAATGCACATGATTAAAGTCCATTCCATTCTATAAGAAGGGTGTATCTAAAACTTTAGAAAATGTAATATAATGTTGCACATTTGTATACATTAAAGTGAACTTTAGAAAATGTGATATAATCTTGCACTCTTATATACATTAAAGTGCGATGACAATTGTTGATTCACACCTTTGTATATTTATTTTCATTTTGCGTACTTAAGATCATTTTTGTTTAGAAGTGTATGAAAGTGATCAAATACATGCTCGTAGTGTATGATAGGCTTAAAGAAAGTGCAAGTTGATGGCATTAATGTGCAGCTTATAAAAGTGCAAAATAATATTATAAAAATCTCGTTTTTCTTCGATTTGTTTCATTTATGAATAATATTAATCATTGAAATTAATGTTTGTAAGAAATCCAAATATTTGATTAAGTCAATGCAGCATAAAGTTTTAAATAAAAGTGTGGCAGTTCTATACTCAAGTGCAAATCCGTAGTGTTTTAAATAAAGTTATACGTAGTGTTTTGAATAAAATGCATTTATTCAAAATTGTAATGCAATTTTTTTGACATACCTGAATAATGCAAAAAGAAACTTAAAATAGATTTATGAAAAGAAATTTGATTATCAAATTGAAATGAAGTATGCATGCCGTAAAACAAAACATGAGAGTGTAATTGAATTGTTTTCCTAATTATTAGGAGACTTCCAACTATAAAATTACGTGTGATAGCTAAAATAATTAAATGTTTCATAATTAGTAGCCCTAACTTTTAGGTAATGTGGGAGCTTATCGGTTGGAAATGGTAAAACAAGTGAGATATTCAAGGAAATGCATTTACACGTCCAATTGTATCATAACACTATTTTACAGCTTTGCCCTTTCATCATTAAACTTGTGAACTCCGTTCCGTTTTTTCGCCCAATCACGTGAGGTGCACAAGTTTTTTTAAAATCCCAAGCCCTTATCTTAGCCACACGATTACATTATTGAATGCTTGGATTTTAATCTTTTTTACTCTCCTAAGAGGGTGTTCTCACCGGAACCGTTCCCTATATATATATATATACATATATATATATATATATATATATACACAAAGTATGCTTCCCATACAAAATGCAATATCATCTCATCCGTTTAATATTATAAAATCAAGGGTGGGATTTGTTTAAACCACTATATCATGCCATATTAGTGCTTCCCTTTTTAATCCTCTCTTCATTAAATGCCGACCATGCAATTATTGGATTAGTTTTTATCATCTACACCGTTAATTCATTCTTATGGATGGATATGATTAGTTTCCACTTTGTAAATTAGGATTAGTTTGTATGTGATCCTAAATCTATATATCACATACAAACTAATCCTAATTTACAAAATGCAAACTAATCATAACCATTGATTTTAATAATGTAACGGTCAAGATAGGAAACCAATGCATTAATGGCTGGTCCCATGTAATACGGATTATAGGAGAAAAATTCTCCACTAATGCGGATTGAGTATTAATGCTCAAATAAAAACTAACCCTTGATTTTGTTAAATTGGATGGA